ACTAGTACCAAAAATACAGTGTGGAATCAAGCTGTAATCAAAAATAAAAGAAATAAAAAAATCACTTGAACATATACTCCTTATTTTTGAGAATGAGCAATGGATCAGACTTCTCTTTCTTCTCAAAGGGATTCAAATATGGAAATTTGTCTACTGACCATTCCATGTTGGTTTTCTGTAGATCGATCTTTGAAGAGAACCATCATATCTCCTTTTTAGAAAAAATATCAAAAAAATGGAATTTCGAGTTAATCTCTGATTCCTATGTGAAATGGATGGCATGATGGCAGCTGTTGAACTCTTTAGTTATCAATTCTATGTCGGTATTGTCGTCAAATGATATAAATGAAAAAAAAACTTAGAAATCACTGGTATTTAAATGTTGGTTTGCTGGGGTTTGATTTGATTGGTTTCAGGATATTATCATGAGTTGACATCGGTTAAGGAACCATTGGCAAATCAACTGGAAGTACCCGGAAGCCAACTGTTTCGTCCTATATTCATCCATTTTCACCAGCATAACATTGTGAAATAAACGAGGTTGATGCTAGAAAAATGTATTTCTACTCATTTGGATAGCGTTATAAGAAGACGGAGATTATCAGACAAATGTGATGTGATGTATTTGCGCTATACATTTCGAACAATCTGATCACACATTTACAAAGTGACGAAAAAGAATTAAGAATAATTAATACAAACGTTTGGTAATACAATCAAATAAGGATTACCAAAGTAGGTTAAGAGTAATAATAGACTGTTTTGAATACACAAGGGGGGGGGCTTATGTTTATGAATAGCTATAGCCTCGGCGTATTTCAATAAGCATCGTTGACCGTTTCTATAGATGACCTTAAAGGCTGAGTTTATATTAGTCTTATGGTTCCTCTCGATTAGGTGTTTAGCTATAGACCAAGTTGGTGTCCATACTGAGATTTCATCAGCGACCGACTAACCCTTTGATGTGTTGGCTGATGCAACTTCCTCACCCGGAAATAAGTGAAGTGAAGTGGCCAACACGGTCCACCAACCAACTCACCACATCTCCTTATCTTTAAGCTAAGAGTGAGTCGATGTAGTCCAGGCCAGCTGAGTCCAGTCCTGTAGCAAGCATCACCTTACATTTGACAGCATGGAGCGAATCGTTCGCATGACAAACATTCTAAGATTGTTCACTACTCAAGGAGTCCAGAAGACTCTGCTCTACCTTGTCAGCATCTTCGCCGAGAAGGGAAGACTATATCATCTATATATTCTAAGTCAACGATCAGAATGTTCAAAATGTATAGCGCAAATACATCACATTTTTCAAATAATTTCCGTCTTCTTATAACGCTATCCAAATTTATAAAAGGGACTAACTGTTTTATATTTCTGTTAATCTAGAGACTGGCCCTATTCAAGTAAGTAGGTTAGTTACCTGATTTCCAGTGAGAAGTCATCATCAGTACTGTACAGCAGGTCGGGGATGGAGACAAATGCTCACCTCCAATGACATTGGTTAGTGGCAGTTGTGCTTTATCATGCGTGAATTGGTAGAGGTTGGAATTCATAGACTGGCTGGTCATTGGATCGGTCGTGTCCCAATGGCTTGATAGTCTACTAGCTCGCTAGCCCTGTAACCTACAGGTCTTGGGTTCGAACCCCTTTTGGTAAGTCTGTACTCCGGAAGAATCCCAAACTAGGCTGACGAAACGTCGTTACAGTTTTCCCTGGCGATTTTCCAATAGTTTTCTAACGGATGTCAGCTCATGATGAAATCCTGAAAGAAATCACTGGATCATAGCTTTAATCCAGTTCAGAAATGTAATTTGCAGATAACATTAAAAAATACAACACAAAAATAACACGTCATTCCTATCACACATGTCCTCTTTAGTTGATTCGATAAATGAAGCTCCTATTTTATGATTGTGTGTAATTCCATGTGGTGTACTGCTAAAGCTGAGCCATTCTTCAGATCTATCGTATTAGCGTCAACAAACCTAGATTTTAGTGCTCCGGTAGTTTGACTGATTGACTGGCTGACCCTGTTCCACTACTTTGACCTATGTATATTTGATCTGACAATCAGTGCAGACAGGGTATTAGACAGACTAAATTTCGATAAAGCAATAAGAAGACGTAATTTGTCTGAATCGTGTAATGTATTTGCGCAACACATTTCGAACAATCTGATCACACACGGACTTGTCATAGGAATATATATGAAATTAATAAAGAGGTAAGAGGTGGGAAAATAGAACTTAGGTCAAGTTAAAAGGACATATTCAAGGTCAAAATAACAATGAAGACCACTAAACCAAATAGCATCTGCTATGGTATCAAAACAAAATTTACCAAGGAAGGTTTAATGTGATGACAAATTGTTTTTGAACGCATAAAGGTGGCTTGAACTTTCTAATTGCTAGGGCTTCTACAAACTTTAGGATACGCCCCAAACACGTTTTATAGATAGGTTTAAAAGATCTGTTAACATCAATTTTATGACCTGTCTCTATAATATGTTTCGCAATAGAAGAGCTAGGTCTCCTGTTCTCACCGTTAATAGGTTCTGATGATTCCATTTGTTTCTGGAGCCATTTTGGAATATGCTCTGAAGCCCTTACTTGCAGAGATCGATGAGTCCTCCCTATGTATGTGTGTCCACACGTACATTCAAATTGGTAAATACAGTGGGATGTGACGTCATTTTTCGCATGTTCGAAGGGCTTAGATAGATATAATGGCTTTACATTCTCTAATATTATGATATTAGCTGCATAAAAAGTCTTTTTAACAGCAGCGTTCAGCCTTTGTCTAGTTATCAAGCTGCTTTGATGTCCCATATAGGGTAGCTTGATGTACACGTCTTTCTTAGGGGCGAGTTGGAGAGTGGGTCTTGGTGTTCTGACTACTTTATATCTCCTGATGAACTTGTCTGGATAATTGTTATCAACCAGAGTTTGTGTCAATATTCTTTCTTCTTCATCAAGCGTGTCTTCAGTGCATATTCGTCGGATTCTACTGAAGAGACGCCCCTTACTAAGCCTCTTTTGTACCGAATAGGGCAGAAACTGTGGTAATTAAGATACTGTCCTGTCCAGGTAGGTTTTCTATAAATAGATCTTTTTATTGACCCATCAAGCCGTCGACTAAGCAATATGTCTAGGAAAGATAAACAATTATCTTCCTCTTCTACAGATGTAAGTGATATGCTATTCTGAACTTCATTCATTCGATTTAAAATTGAGGTGGCAGAACAAGGCTTATCACTGATGACTACGATATCATCTACATACCTTCTATAAAGTGGCACATTTTCGATTAAATCTTCCGATAAATTCTCAATGTACGACATATAAATATCTGCTAAAAGGGGCCCTAACGGACTGCCCATAGCAACACCATCAACTTGGCGGAAACAATCGCCTTCAAATGTAAACCTAACATTGTTAGTACATAGAAGTAATAAATCCTTTAAGTAAGATATAGGGAACGGGATGAAAAAATTGTTTGTGGAAATATAATCACACAAAATGTCAACTGTTTTGATCAAAGGCACATTAGTGAATAACGAGTTTACATCAAAAGAGTACATATTCTTGTTCATAATATTAATATTACTATCATCAAGAACATCAACCAATTCAAATGTATCTTTTAACACATACTTACAGAATTGTGTTTTGACTGGATTCAATAATTCCACTAACCATTTAGCAAGTTTATGCGTTGGGGATTTGCACATTGACAATATAGGAAGTAGAGGATTATTGGGTTTATGTATTTTTGGTTACCCATACATATGTGGGAAATTGTTTTGTTTAACTGCTTCCACAAGACTGTTCCTTTTACCGACAGAGCTTGTCTCTAATCCAGTTTGTGGGGGCAGTTTGAATGCCAACCACTTTTATTCCTGACTGAATTGTTAAGAATACTCCTCTGTCTCCGGAGTTCCTTCTTTTTATGAAAGTACTGCTGCTGGAGATTTAAATTCCTTATATTGTTAGTGCTGTCATCATTCTGTGCATGTCATCATTAGTAATATTATTATCACTATTATTATTTATTTTATTTTTGCATTTTCATACATGATCCCTGATTAATTTATCAGGGAAATTATTAAGTTTCAAAGCTTCTCCCATATGCCTCACTTCCTGTCTTAGATTTTCCTTAGTACTTCTTTAGTTTTTATGCCCTATGACTTGAACATTTCACCAATCCTGTTTTCACTAACATAGGGTGGGATGATCGGAAATCCAAATATTGGTTTAAATATGTTCTATACTTTTTAATCTACAATCTAACATTAGAAGCATCTCTTCTTGACTTTCAAATTCATAAGTGAATTGAATCACTTCTACCTCCGAGTTGATGTCTTCGAAAAATCTATTTGTATAGTGTGGTCTAAGTGTACGGTGAGTTTGTCATCTACATACCTCCACCATACCTCTGGTGTGCGGCTAAGCGTCTCAATCACTATGTTCTGCCACCTATCTATGAATATATATCTACCACAGCTGGAGATACTGTTGACTCCTTGGTGACTACATCAGTTTGTTTGTATATTTTCCCTTGGGACTTAAATACTGAGGAAGTCAGGCATAGCTGCTGCACTTCCAGCATTATGTCCTCTAGTGGCACTTTTGTTTTAAGTTCAATTTGGTCGGAAGTGAGTTCGTTGTTTGATAACTGAAGCTTTATTTATCGAATCGACTGAAGGGAATACGTGGAATAGGAAGGATTCAACACCTTTCCACCTGGACATCTTGAAAATTCTGCTACCAACCCCTCTACGATGACAAACAGAAAAGAATGAATAAAACTATAAAACGAAAGTTTTGAAGTTGTGTGATCATATAACTGATGTGATAAATATGAACGGCAATAAATTATGTTCGAAAGGCGTCGTCATGCAGTAAATAGTACTGTTTTATACCGTGTGGTATATCTAATAAATTGATATGCAGAAGTATCTTTAATTCACAGCATAATTCTAACTAATTATTTCATTGTAGAATGCCGTGTTTAACGATGTCTTCAAGAGCACAAGAAAAAGAGAAACGCACGACTCGTTTTGATCCAACCTTTATTCCAGTAAGTTTGATATTTTGTATATTCTAACGTGTACAAATCTCTGGATTCAATTTTTAGAAAAACAACACAAATGGTTTTTTCGCCAATATTGTAAGCAGCCAAGCTATCCTGCACAAATTGTATTGTAACAACAGACGACAAGGGTCAGGCAACAGATCGTTTATTAAGAAAATCAACACATATTTATAGATTTTTCATGTACATTATCATAGACTATTGTTAGCAGACAAACATAGTCTTCTGATTGGTGGTTGTTTTTCACTAAAAAATAACCTTTTATCTCTTTGTGGTTGTTTCTTGAAGGTCAGATCATCTATATGTTTACTGTATCCGCCTACGCGAACAAAGTCTGCTGTGATTGGTTGCTGAGTCAGTCTTTGTTCTTGTCTTTTTCTCAAGGCCAATATTGAGGACGTAAACATTGACGTAAATTACTGTCTACCAGTTTGGCTAGCAGCCAGCTCTCACCACACTCGTCCCCTCGTCAAAAACTTGTGACTGAAGTTGCTTCGGTCTTCTTTGTTCTAGGGGCTTTGTTCGTTTGTCTTGCTCACTGATGTCCACCTGTTTCTCTTTGTTCGCCATTGCGATTGCGTCTGAGTAACCCCATCTCAAAGTGCCTAGATGTGGTCCTTCCTATTTTGGAAAATGTTTGCCTGACCCTGTCGAACATTCATCGGTATTTCGCCTCACACTTCATATGCTGCTTTCTCCCGACCTCCCAGCAGCGTCCCGAGTAACAGCCACATCGCTGACAGATTTTGAACGCCACTCAACTGCTCAGAAGCCTCGAAGTCCTGGCCGAAGATCCATATGTCTCCCTCGAAAGCTGCAGGGCATAGGCTTTCCATTTGTTGGTAAGCCACGACACTAAATGTAAGAAGAGAAGATAAGGGACAGGAAACAGATCCTTTATTTATGAAATCAACACATATTTATAGATTTTCATGTACATTAGTATAGGTTATTGTAAGTAGACGAATATAGTCTTCTGATTGGTTGTTTCTCACTGAAAGTTGATCTTTCATCTCTTTCTGGCTGTTTCTTGAAGGTCAGGTCATCTATCTGCTAATTGTATCCGCCTACGTAAACAAAATCCTCTGTGATTGGTTGTTGAGTCAGTTTTTGTTTTTATCTTTCTCATGACCAATATTGGGGACGTAAACATCGATGTAAATTACTGTCTACCAATTTTTCGGCTAGCAGACAGCTCTCACCACAATATGACTCATACTTACTGTTGAGGATCTTATTTTTTTAAAAAAAACGATTATTCCCACCAAATGCGGAGTATAAACCTGAAAACTGTTACTGAGATGAGTCACTACACTTCCATCCTTTTAAGCTTAATGTATCTATTACTCATATTATTCAAGTGATGCATTGAGAGAAGCTCATACCATATGTAATTCATCACACAACCAACAACTTAACAACAGCCCTATGGTAGATTTGTATTGATCAATTTTACTCAGACGAACAATCGACACCAACGAAAGCAACAAAAAAGAGTTAAAAGCGATAATGGAGAGACAGGCAGACCTTAGGCAGCATTTGATTGACATTCATCATATACAGCCAACTTAGAAACCACTTAACAAACTTGATATGACGAGGGTTCTCAGTTGCTGTTGTTTTTTTCTTGAACAACTTCTCAGCAACATAAAAATCACATAAGGAAACACTAGGGCGTTATTTAGGTTGTTAACTTGAGTAGCTCTTTAAAGAGACAACTTGTTTAGGGATTAATAGAACATTCTTAGGTTTAAACTTGAGACTGTCTGAATTTCGCCTTACTATCCAGCCTATGATCAATTTTATAAGGGTGGTGTGAATGAATATGCATTTCAACCAATTCAGTTAGCTTGAGTGTGAATACCATTAATATTTTTATTCCCTTGGGTTCACAAGTGAAACATAGGGCTTCAACAACAACAACAACAACACATCTCCAGTTTGTTCAGTTTTTCGCTGTCCTCTTCAGCCGGCCGTATTCTCTCATCTTCTCGTCCAATGCATACTACCTTCTCTATGTCACCCTCACGCTGACGACCCACTCATCGCTTCCCATTGGGATTCGACTCGAACACTGGCCTGATGCGTAATGTCATTCAATGACCTACTCAATGTTTTCTGGATAAATCCATCTCTATCTTCTCCTAAATATTTGTTAAACAGTAGGCTTTCGACTTGGTTGGTTTGTTGCCAGACAGAATTTCTTGTTGCTAATTCTCCTTAACTTGCCATTTGATATTCAGTGTAGAGTTAGTGAAAGAGGCAGTAGCCTGTTGGAAATGTTTATCGTGATGCGTTCAGCATGTCTCCAACCCATATGGAAGTGACTGGCTGACTGATTTGACATTAGTGTTGAAAATCTGAATGTTGCTGTTTATGGTGGCTGAGTGAGAGCACAAGATTTCTAATTATTATTATTATTTCTTTTAATTTCTAGAGGAACATAGGGCTTCAGCCGCCCATGTCTCCATTGTGTTCGGTTCTCTGCCAACTTTTTCACCTGGCTCCTTGTCTGCCCACATGCTTTCATCTCCTCTTCACATCACCTCTTGCTCCATCTCACCCTCGCACTAATGACCAACTCATCGCTTCCCATTCGGGTTCCACTAAAGGAATGGTTTGTCTAGTGATGTCACTTGATGGTTTGTTTTCTCACAGTATGGCCAATCCATCTTCATTTCTCCCTACCTATATGTTGCACAATCGGTTCCCGCTGGGTTGGTTCGCTCATTGTCAGAGATCCCTGTTGGTGATCTTTTCTGGCCGGCCATCTGATCTTGAGTATTGAGCGGAGACAGCTGTTAATGAAGGTTTGAAGTTTGTTTGACATGCTCTTTATGACTCGCCAAGTCTCTGATCCGTATAGTAGCACTGACTTCACATTGGAGTTGAAGATCCAGATCTTATTTTTGATGCTGAGTGCTGTTGACCTCCACACAGATTTGAGAGTAATGAAAGCTTGTCTTGCTTTTCCGATTTTGGCTTTGATATCCTCATCAGTTCCGTCCACCTGTAGTTGAAACGATCCTTCCCAGGTGGTTAGGTAAAGAAGGTTGTTTCTTTCAGGTTCCTCCCATTTATGCTGATTGAAGATTTCCACACTGGTTTCATATTGATGAAAGTGTATTTTGCCTTTTCGATCCATAGTGGCTGTAACCTCTTCATCCGTGCTATCGCCTATGGTTGACTCGATGCTTCATAGCCAGATAAGTGAAGTCAGAAAGTAACCTCTGCTAAATCCCTCCCGTTGATGGTGACTGGTACCGGTTGTCTTCATTACCTCCGTCTTCTCCGTGTTCACCTGGAGTCCTGTCTTCGCCGTTCGCTGGCGTCTTCGGCCAGTTTGTTAGTTTTCGCCTGCACATAATAGAATGTCTTTCCTCAAGATTGAACTTGTTCAAAAAGATTAGCAGGTGACTGACTCTAAACCGACCATACCACCCCAAAACGAAACTACCTAATGTTAACGAACCTTAAACAACCATTCACAGAGTCCGTAATATATAGACGGAATTATGGATGCTGTACATTAATTACGAGATAAATCCCATCCAAATCTAACATTTAGGTACTACTTAGACCGCAGGCTCATTGAAAGGCCAAAAACGTGTAGCCGTCTGCCATCCTTGGGCTATATATTAATAATGTGGTCAATCATACGGATGATTTCGTCATCTTTTCGATGTAACCCCCACAAAATACCTTTTTCTTGGAAAATATACAAGGAAGTTATTATATATAACTACTTTCTAACACTGCATTACTTTTGCATAAACGTCTTTTTCAAATTAACATACTTCTGCTTCAGACGCATCTGATTGGTCGACAGAAATTTGTCAAGGTCTTTATTAGGTCGTTTCGTTTTAGGCTGCTGCTGCTGCTATAGGCTAAGAGTTATCGATTAGCAAAATCAATAATGCACACACACACAATGTCTTGCATAAAATACAGTCAGAATTATTATTGAAAAATGAATAATAGAAATAAAGCTTGAGTCCCTTGACTTGATTCGATTCTGAGAAATCCACAAAAATCGAAGAGTATTTTCTTTTCATATTGAAAATAATTTTTTATAATTGTCAAATACATTTTAAAAAAATTGTAATTTGTACATTGTCGATTATTATATAATTTTTCGTTGTTTTCTGTTTTCATTTGCTTGTTGAATTGAGAAAACAATGGTATGTGCAATTAATTTTTCATCATTCTTTTCTATTTTTTTATTTGTTAAACTATAGGGTTATTCGACTGGTTTAAGTATAACTAATTCTGTACAAAATGCAGAACTTCGCGGTCGTATTAGATCATTACTGTCACGGACCAAACGTACTGGTTAAGTGTCAGAAGTCAATAAATGCAAAGAAGCAATCATTGTGCACGTTGATGATTAATTATAGGGCTTAAAACTAATCTGCTATACACAATATCTTAATTAGAAAACTTTATATTATATATCATATATATATATATGAATTATTCATAAAGTTTACGTTAAAAGTGTTATTCACTGTTTCTAATGAGTAATAATCTATTGGGTCATATGTGAACGGGTCATAGTGGACATAGTGATGTAGTCTTTTATCCAATCGTATCAAAAATCAATACAGTGAAAATAACAAAACTTCAAATCAACCTAAATATTAAACGAGTTGTAAAATTTAAACCATAAAATCTAAAATTTTCGAGTGAGGCATAAAAGCTATCTATGGCTAGGTGTTTTCGCGCACAGTACTGCAACAATAGCTAAACGTAATATGTGATATGATATAATACAAACTCACGTTTAGAAAATGGTTTATTAAATAATAATAATTTGCTTAATTCTAAAACAGTACTTTTTATACAGAATGGAATTCTCAGCATTTCACCACAGTATATTACATCCAGTTAGTACATTAACAATAAATAAAATTCTACATAGATTAAGGGTAGTCTCAGTTAATTTTGACAACAACATATTAGCATATCGGTCGGTAGCAAAGGCAAAATTGAATAGAGGGTTTGAAGGTGTTAGAAAAGTAGATGCTAACTAGCATATTTACTGGCGTAAGCGGTAACAAAAAGGTCGAGATATACAGACTGTGAAAGAACGAAGAAGAATGTTTTAAATAGAGTTTGTAAGAAGGAGAGAATTAAAGCAGCACATAACAGAGAAAAAAGAGAGAGAAAAGGAAAAGAGAGAAAGAAAACGTTGTATCTATAAATGATATGAGTTGGAAAGACGAGATCCAGTTGTTCTACTGACTATTTAATAAGTTGTAAGTTTCACGCCTAATGCTGTCTTTATCGCACAGAACATGAGCTAAGTAGGATACGGTTGAGTTTTTGTATTTGCTAATCCGAGCATATAGTTTCCTACATAGGCTACTGGTCTGCCTGCCTGAATAGATACAAGGGGAGAGTTGTGAATGAAGACAATAGACAATTTCTCTCTGTACAAAAGGCACGTCGATGACACTTTTATCATTTGTGATAACAAAAGTGACATAAATAATGTCTGTCCTTCGGGTTTTTAATAGCTGCCACGCAGAAATCAAATTTACAAACGAAACAGAAACGAGACAAACAATCTCATTTCTGAACGTACAATTAACAAAGAAGATTGGTTGGGATCTAAAGAGATCAAAATGTCGACAGCCTACGTGGAACGGTCAGTTGAAAAAAATTTCACAGTTGGGTACCCATCAATTGCAAGCGGAACCTGATAATAGAATCTGTAGAATATGCCATCCGGAATCAATACAAGAAGAGAGAACCCTTTTGAGGAAGACACTACTTGAGACTAGCTATCCACCACGCTTTATAGATAAACACAAAAAGCTGAAAATCAACAAAGAACATCCCATCTCTGTAGCGAAGAAGATGCTACACATGAATGTGGCCTTTAAAGGCGACCTTCTAACTAACATCCTAAAGAGTAGAATATCTAACGGCCTGAAAAGAACATTCTCTACTGTAATACTACAACTGGTATTTTCATACCACCCATTGTTCTTCAACAACACCAAAGATAAACTATCGCATTTGACCACTTCAGGTGTGTATCTACCAATTAACTTGCTCACACGAAGATAGAGAGAGAGATATTTAGGTCGTTTGATGTGTGTTTTACCTACGAAAAGGTAACAGTGGATCAATAAAGAGTGCTACATTTTCAAGTATTGGCTTTTGTATGGACTTTATTTGATTGGTTGGAGGATTTCATTATGACCTAATATCAGTTAGAGAGAAATTGTAAAACCACTAGAGAGTACCGACAGACAGTTGTTTGGTCAGCTTAGTTTGCGACTCTTCATCAGTACGTAACCACCACAGCGAAGACGCTGACGAAATGCAGAGTCTTCTGAACACCTTGAGCTGTAATCTACGAATGTTTGGCATGCGATTCGCTCCCGCCAAATGCCAGATGATGTTACAGGACTGGACTACAGCGACTCCTAGTTTAAAAATAGGAAGTGAAATGGTAGAGCACATTGACCGCTTCAATTATTTGGGAAGTACCATCAGCCAGTGCCAACGGGTTGATCTCTGGCGAAATCTCAGCACGAATACAGGGGGCTCGTTTCGCATTTGCCAGTTTACGCCGACTCTGGCGTAGACGAGATGTTCGACTATCGACCAAAGGGTGGGTGTATTGCTCATCAGTCCGCTCCATCCTCCTTTATGGCCAGCTGTGAGACCTGGCCACTGAGAGTGGAAGACATGAAAAGACTAGCTGTCTTTGATCATAGGTGCCTGCGTTCTATTTCCCGTGTAAAGTGGCATAATAAGGTGAGCAACATTGAGGTTAGGCGTAGAGTTCTAGGTAAACAGGGGAAATCAATCGACGAAGTCGTGAAGTTGCAAAGACTGAGATGGTTAGGACATGTGTTACATATGCCAAGCCATCGCCTTCCTCGACAACGGGCAGTGTTAGCGGATATAGGGTCAGACTGGAAGAAAGCTAGCGGCGGTCAAACAAAAACTTGGCACCAGTCAATGAAATCCACAACAGTTGGTCTAAGCCACGTAGGAAGGTGTAGACTTCCAGGCTGGGGTCCTCGGGACGGTAAAAATCTATGGTTGGAAACAATTGGTGACATGGCTCAAACTCATCGTTCTCAGTGGCGCAGATGCATCCACTCCTTGTGACTTATGATCTTCAATGAAACTGTTTTGTATTTCTTTATTACTCCTTTGTCTCACACGCCTGCTCACTGTTTCTATTATGCTTTTCTTGTACTTTCTTCTCTTCCTTCGCGTGCTACACGGAGTGTGGCGACTTGAACTGGCACACACTTGTGCAGAGTTCTATGTCGAAAACAGACAGACAGACAACCACCACAGCCTGTCCAAACCCAAGACCTTCTGGTTACAAGGCCAGCGACCTCGTAGACCACTAAGCCACTGGGACCCAATCCAATGACCATTCCATGAATTCTAACTTCTGCCAATTCATGATATGGCGCGTCCACTTCACAGTGTCTTCTTCGATGAGTTACTGATTCACTTTCAACCTGCTGTACCCTACTGGTCAGTAGCTTAATGGTCTAAGAGCCTGCTCGCCTTGTAGCTATGAGGTACTAAGTTTGAACCCTGTCACTGGGTGTTTGCTGATGAAGAGTCAGTCCCAAACTACGCTGACAAAACAGCTAGGTGGCTCTCCAGTACTCCCTCCTGGTTTTCTAAGGGTTCTCTAACTGATGTCAGTTCATGATGCAATCCTTCAACTAAAGAGTGCTACAACCGAACACACAGTAAACAACGGTCACTCACTATACAAGGAGACTTCATTCAGTCATCTACAAAGTCGATAGAAACCTCTAGAAAACGGTAGGTAAGCTTCCGTATACTTTACATTACCGAGGCCTTAGTGATAGAAAACCCAGACTACTATGTACACAGAAGAAACTTCTCCTTCCCTTCCTTCTACCTTGGGTATAATTCCAAGTTTGACTATTTTGTTACCCTTGGACGACCAACTCGCCGCTTCCCTTTCGGGTTCCACTCGAGCAATGGCTTGTCTAGTCATGTCACTTGATGGTTTGTTTTCTCAGAGAATGACCAATCCAATCCATCTCCATTTCTTCCTGCCTATTTTTTGCACAATCGGTTCCCGCTGGGTTGGTTCGCTCATTACCAGAGATCCCTGTTGGTGATCTTTTCTGGCCGGCCATATTGAGTAGTACTGAGCGAAGATAGTTGTTAATAAAGGTTGTTTGAGATGCTCTTTATGACGCACAAAGTCTCTGATCCTCATGGTAAGTAGCACTGACTTCACATTGGAGTTGAAAATCTGGATCTCATTTTTCATGATGAGTGCTGTTCATCTACACACAGACTAGAGAGTAATGAAGGCTTGTCTTGCTTTTCCAATCCTTGCTTTGATATCCTCTTCAGTTTCGCCCACTGTTGAAACGATGCTTCCCATGTAGGTGAAGGAGGCTGTTTCTTTCAGGTTCCTCCCATTTATTCTGACTGTTATCTGTTGTTGTTGCTGCCGGTGGTGTTGGCCAAGAATCTTCATCACCTTTGTTTATATCTATGTTCACCTGTAGTCCTATCTTTGATGCTTCTTCTGTCAACTTGTTGCTTTTCGCTTGAAAAAGGGAGGACGTTCAGCGAAGAGACTCTTTTCGACAGCGAATTCATTCACACAGCTGTACAATCCCATTTATATATAATTAATTGTGTCTGTGTGTACATGAGGTTTGTCAAGTTTAGATAATTGATCAGGTAATAAAAGAATGATCTAATATAAAAACAAGGTTAATTGGACAGCAACTAAAATAAAACTGAGCTTTTCACTTGAATATCTTCAGGTTTGTGGGAAATCAGACATATATCATCGGCAAAGTCCAGATCCTCCAAGTTTGTTGTGTGAGTTCATTTTATGCCTGTTTCCTCATTGCCCGTTGTCGATCTCATTATTCAATCTACTGCAATCAGCAAAAATCATCGGCGATAGTAGACAGCCTTACCTCACTCCCGTCCTCACTTCGAAGGATTCCGTAAGTTTCCAGTTGTGGATTCCTTGGCATACAGTATTGTCGTACAACTGTTGGATGAGATGTATAATTGTCGATGGCACCCCGTAGTAGCGAAGTAGTTTCCAAATCACCTCCCGATCGGCGCTGTCTACTGAAGGCCTTTTCAAAGTTGATGAAGTTGAGTGAGGTAGAGAGGTGACTGCCATTCCAAGCTTTGTTCAATGATGATCCGTAGAGTGGCGATTTGATCAATACATGATTTGTTTCTCCTGAATCCACCTGACTATTTTGTTACTGATACCAATTTTGAATTTTCGCATGACATTTTAGTAACATCTTTTTCTTAACCAACCCTTTATTTACTCTTTCTACCTATCACATAATTTATTTTGGACACGCCTCTATTAATATCCTAATTTATATTACGCAATACTTACCAATCTTCAACCCCCCCCTAGTTAGAATTTTCATTATTCATCACATTTTAGAAACATTTCGATGACGTAAATAGTAATCCTAACTAATTTTTTT